GCCCCCAGCACGCTGCTGTAGTGCCTCTGGAAACGCTTCGGTGCATTGCTTTCCCTCTTCTCCTGCCTTCTCCGGTGTCCCCGGGCAGTCTCCCTTTCTCCTGGCGCCTCTCCTCGCCGGCTTGTGCAGGCTTTCTTCCACTGCGTATGATCTTTCACGGTTCCAGAAACTGATTTTACCTTTAGTCTCCTGCTTCCCGCTTCCATTTCTGATGGGTGTTTTTTTTCAAGCTACCTCATGTGTGCACTGGGTGTGGTTTATTATTCGCCTCGTTCTGACGTTCACATACAGAAAAGCTGATGCTTGTCACATAAAATTATTTTTTCACAGTTATCTATAACTTACAGCAAATGCTATGACTACTTACCAACCAGAGCTAACACAAAGGGCATAAATATTCTCCTCTGAATTATCTCAAAAGCTGTGCAGTAGCCTGGTACTAGTGTCCTTTGTTTTACTTGAACACATGTGAAACTTTTGTTTTGTTTTTTTCCTTTTAGAGAGATTTTAATGAACGCTGTGCTCAGTGTTCAGAAGTTAACTGGGGTCTCACTGATGGAGGCAGATTTTATTGCAGATCTTGTCACAATGTTACTGAGGTAAAAAGCTAAGCTACTGGTCTTGGAAAATGTTTATTTTGATTGCTTCTTGGTTTTATATTAAGGAAATATTAGATTTTTCTCCTTGGCATTAGGAGCTGAAGGTGGTATTGTGATTCTTTCTTTTTCATGCTTTATTTCACACTGTTTAAAACTAATGTCACTTGAAATCACAAAATTTAAAATGAGCCATCTTAAGATGCTGTGTTACTGTAGCTGTAGTGCTGGCCTGCTGTCCCGGTGCTTTAGAAGCATTGCCTGGGTATTGCTGGACTTTAGTAGAGTGCCCGTGTAGGCAAACCCTGATGCATGTCACCTGTACGTCCAGCAGTGTAATTCTTTATTTTAGCAATTTTTGAATGAAAAGTTCAGAATCTTCTGTCTCCCTTTAGTGTCGGAAATTTGAACAAGTTCCTCCATAATGTTTTATGTAAGTCAGGCCTGGCTTTTTTTCTGGCTAAGATATATTCCTGTTTTGCAGAGAACTAGAGAAGTTGTAAACACTGATTTTGTTTCTAATACAAGAATACAGACAATCTCCAAACGTTTAAGAAAGCAGGAACAAAATGGTATGTATGAATTTCTGCCTGTGTTTTGTATGAGTAGGGTTCACCCAGCCCATTATGTCTTTGATGGTGACTAAAAGCAGATACCCAGGAAAGACTGTAAGAATGGGAGCAAAATAGAACCCCTAGATGCTGCCACAACCTTCGGTGGTTACTTTTGATGACTTCTTGAGTCACAGGTGACCTCTGTGAGCCCCGTGGTGGGTTTTGGTTGCTTTTGGATTGAGCAGAGATACATGTTACTTATTGCCACTTTGGTTTGTGGAAGTCAATACTCGCTGAAGATGCTGGCGGTGTGCTTTCAGATGTGGTGATCCCTTTGTTCTTTCCTTGTGATGGCTATCACAAAACCAGAGAAGTTGTGTGTCTTCATGAGATGTGGTGGTGGTGGTCCGGCTCTTAGCACGTCAGTCTGGTTTGCATTGCAGACACTGGGCCCTGTAACCTAGACACAAACCTACATGGAAGAGATTTTTTGTAGTTATAATAGCTAAACCTGTACTGCATCTTTCATCCAGAGTTACTTGTATGCTTTAAATTTGGTGAATCAGAGGAACAGTAGTCATTGCGTATGATGATACGTGCTGTAAGGTTGTTATGGTAGGGCTGCTGCTGGAGCTGTCCATGTCTACTGTGATGGCTGGGCAGATGTTCTCCTGGGGCCACTTTCAGAAAGCAGAAATGCCTTACAGTGCTAAATGAAGCACGGGGTCACCTTTATCTCTGGTATGGTGACCTAGCTTTGTTCTACTGGAGTGGCAGGTATGGGGGGAATGAAAAGGAAGTTGAGAAAAAGAGTGAAAATTTCTAAACCCAGAAGCCTGTAGAAAAGGAGTTATAAGTGTAGGGGGGGGGATGAGAGGGGAAATGTAACGCAGGCTTGAGGGAATAGTGAATAGATTGCAGCAGGCCTGCTCCTTATGAAATTCATGTTCTGCTGAGAGTTGCTAGCAGCTTGGAATATCTGAGAAGGTTTCTTCATTTGCTGTGTATGATTCTATGGGAGACAGTGGTGCAGAACATGGTGATGCTGCTTGTTTTTTGCCTGGCTCACCCCTGTAATGTGTTGTAGTTTTCTATGCTGGAGATGAGAAATAAAGTACTGTATTTCATTTTTTAATGACTGTTTTTCAGTTATTTTAAAAGCAGTCACTTCACAATTCTCCACTTGGTTACAGATGCCACGCTAGAAGTTGTAGTGAAATATATTATTCTTGGGGAACATGGAGAACAGTGCTTGTCTAGTAGCTTTTCTTCTTGATTAAAACAGAATAAATGGAAGCTAATGGAGTATTCATTGTATCTAATCTATGCTCTAGCATCTGAAATTGTTAAGCAGAGAAACATGTCTCTGTCCTAATACCAAAAGAACAGAATAATAAGTGGAAATGAATGTGCATAAGATTAAAAGAACCCCAAAGCCTAACAAACAAACAAAGAGTACAAACAGCAGCAACAACAACAAAAACATACCTTTTTTTTTTTAACTTAGATGGAAGCTGTGAATGGTATGTTTGTGAAGGCTTTCAGCTTGTACTCAAGAAACAAGCTGAAGCTTTAGAAGCATTAGGAGTATGTCCACAAATGAAGGTATGTACATGTCAGTGTGAGCTGTACATGCTCCCTGTGTGTGTGTGTTACAGGAGGTGTTCTTTTAAGAGATTGTAATTTTAGAAGTTAATTAAAAAACTCCCTATTTAAAAGCATTAAGTGTATGAAAACAAATTTAATTTCTCCAGTAATTTTAAAACACAGTTTATAAATCCCAGTTAGATATTTGGATTTCTGAGTTAGAAATTATTTTCTGTTCTTTCACTAATTAATGATCTTGTAAACTTTATACTAATCACTAGCCATTTGTATTTATCAGGATGAAGTTCTGTGCAATTTTTGGAGGTGTTACCTTCAGAAGAGCAAACAGGCATATTGTAAGAGACCAGCTGGGGAAATTGTTAAAACATTATCAGTAAGTGAAAAGCTCAAATCTCGTGAGAAATTCGGTATCTTTTAAAAAGAAGTGGACAGAAACCTTCATTGTTGAAACTACATATCTAGTTTGTATTAATGCTGATATGAAGGATGTCTTGTAACAGGGTTCCACATGTCCGTTTTGTTGTCTTTTTTTTTTTTTTCCTATTTCAAGAGACACGTACTTATCTGAGTATAGAAAACTGCATATTTGAAAGTATGTCTTTGTCTCAGTGTAGATGGTCAGTACATAGAGCAAAATTACAATATAAAATGCATCATCAGCTACCATCCTTTCCTGCCTACTTACTTCATCGAACTTTGAATCTCTGTATTGCCAACTTTCTGGTCATTGTAGCAGATTAGAATATAATGTAATCACTGGAAGTCTTTTATCTTGAGGAATCCTTTAAAATACTTTTTTTTGCTGGGTTCTTTACAAACTGGTGACTCATAGAGAAAGTAAAAGCATGAACAATTTGGGTTTAAATTTAATTTACTGTTGCTTTTTGCATCTGTCATGATCTATTTGGTTTCCTTGGTTGGAAACAGTAACTAACAGCAGCTTTTACAATGTCTCATTCACAAAACCCAGGCTTGTGATAGCAGCACTGATGGGGACAGTGAACCAGAGAGACCCAGCCTTCTCCACTTGTTGTCTGGCTCTGAAAGCGAGGGGGATCTACAGACTGATTGCAGCTTTGCCTCATCAACTAGCAGGGTCTCAGGTAGTAGCAAGCAACTGAACTATCTGGAAACCAGTTTCATTTGTTTGTAAAAAATATAAATAAATATCAAGTGTATTCATGTGCAATGGATCAAAGGAACTCATTGGAAAGCATAAAGTTCTCAGTCCTGTTTGCATGAGAGTACAGAACTTTCCCCCCCCAAACCTTACCAAGGAGATGAAAGTTGAACAGGACCTGGTAATACACTGGGAAATGCAGGAGAAAGTTCTGTTTTATAAAGAGTCTTATGCTCTGTGCGTAAAGTAACTTATGCACTCCATGCATCCTGTTTGGAGTGGGGAAAAAATTGCTGTTGCATCTGCAAAGCTAGATGTTCACAAACGCAGCAGCTTTAAAGAGGAAGCACTTGTTTCTCTAATAGCAGAGCTGTCAGTCGTGACTGATGTTAAAAAAACATGAGTTTTGGGGAGAATGGTGAGGTGGTTTGTGGTTTTTTAGTTATTTTTTTCCCACTATCCCACAGTTATATTTAGCTTTCTAATTTTCCTTATAGCATTTTTTGTGCTTCTGTATCTTTTGTCTTCGCATTCTTTTTATGACTTTATAACCCCTTCTGTCAAAAATCTTGTAGTTTCTTCTTTCTGTTCACAGTATTTACTATATCAACTTGGAAGTATTTGCAGAATGCTAAACATTTTAATTAAAATGCTATAGAAAATTTGAGTGTTATAGAAAATGTGGAGTGGGATGTATGATATAGGAAATAGATTTCATGCTTCTGCTTGTGCTTTAAACTTCTGGTGTTTTGTTTTTTTATTTTCTTTTTAATTCACTGCTTGCCTTTCCTTGTCTGTTTCAGTGTTTCTATTTCCTCTGTTATGTATGATCCTCTTCCAGTCTTTATATTTGTTCTTCTAGGATATTGCCCATCTACCTTCAGAAGAATACAATCTTCTCTTTCATGTTTTTCTCTTTATTTCATAACGTCCAGAAATGCTAATAGAATGAGAAACTTGATCTGCAGCAATTAAAATAAATTAAGAAAATTTTAAAACTCCAAACAGAATTAGAGAGGAGGGGAAAAGGTGTAAAAATGGTGACAAATTTTTGTGAATATGAGAGTACCAACAATTGAGCCTGCAGGAGAGAACACTTTGGGGAGACATTATTGTAGCCTTTCAGTATCTGAAGGGGGCCTACAAGAAAGCGGGGCAGGGGGGGACTTTTTACAAGGGCTTGTAGTGATAGGATAAGGGGTAATGGCTTCAAACTGAAGGAGAGTAGATGTAGATTAGGTAGAAGTTCTTCACTATGAGGGTGGTGAGACACTGGAACAGGTTGCCCAGAGAACTTGTGGATGCTCATCCCTGGAGGTGTTCAAGACCAGGCTGGATGGGGCCTTGTGCAACCTGGTCTGGTGGGAGGTGTCCCTGCCCATGGCAAGGAAGCTGGAACTAGATGAGCTTTAAGGTCCCTTCCAACCCAAACTGTTCTATGATTCTGTGATATCTTTCATCCTTATATATTAAAGTGACAAAATTTTCAGGTAAAGAGTCGCTGTATGTTTGTAGGTGTAGCAGATCTTAGGTGTTATAAAAATATGTTATATGAAAAGGAAAGAATTGAGTAAAAATTTCTAGTACGTTCTCTATTTCTAAGTATTCCATTGACATTTCTTTCCTTTTTCAATGTCTGGAGAAACTTTCTTCCTTGGTACTTGTGCCTTTTATAGTTAGATTTCTTAGAATTTTAGAACAGCTAGATGGTCTTAAGACAGACCATAATTTAATGTATTCTTCATCTGTTGTTTCAGAGATTGAATTCAGTTTTAACTAGTCATGGCAATTTCACTAAAAGCACTTGAAATGAACTAAGAGTTCAGCGAAATGAACTAAGAGTTCAGAGACACTAGAAGTAAATTTTGGTGAAATCAAACATAGAAATTGTTTTGTATATTTTAATTTAACACAAGTATACTAAATGTATTCCAGTCCATTGTAATTTTTTTGTCAAGATTCATAGGTTTCTTCTTCTGTGCTGTTTTTACCAAGCTGTTATTGCTACAGACTGGAAACCTCAACACCCTTTTTTCCTAAGAGGCTTGTCCAACCAGCAAGCATTTTTCTTGTTATTTTTGTGTAGGGTTAATAGTAGATTCCAATGAGTATAGCACTGCGATGTTGCTAGAGAAGCCTATTAAACTCTTAAATTATTAGATGTGGGTAACTGTCTGTTGTCATGCCTTGCATAAGCTGGAAGAAATAAAAGGAAATTGTGTGCTATTATTAAGGCCACAAATATAATGAGGATTATTTTAAATTGAATGTGAAGTTAATAATGGAGCTTCAGTTGTGAAGCTGCATTTAAGCACAAGTACCCATGTAAAAGGTGAAACTGTTGACTAAAAGGATTAACTGATGTTCCTGCTTTTATTCTCTGATGCACCTATATGTTGATAGACCTCATAGGGTGCTCACACCTAGACCTTGTCTTACTCAGTACGAGGTGTATGCTTGAGCCGGTGCTTTTAACCCGTTGCTGTGTCCGTAGTGCTCCTGGCCGCTGTTTTAAGAGCCGGTAGGTGGCATCACAGACCAGTTCTGGCTCAGGAACACAGTATTTGCAGCGTCTTCGTGCTGCGTGTCGGGGGTGCTGGACCGCCACCACTGACCACTGTCCCCTTCCGTGCTCGCCTGCCACCTGCCAGCACCACCCCGGAGCTACCAAGCTCTCTGAAGTTTTACACAGTTTTCTGCAGGCTGCTGGCCATGGCCCAGCAGCTCCCAGCTGGGAGCTGTGGATACAGCCCTCGCTGGTCCTGTCTGAACAGGTGAACAGTCTGTGGGGAACCACAGTGAGAAAATCTCTACAGAATTGATATTTTGTGCTGATGTGCTTTAAATGCATTTTCATTCGTCCTGGCTGGGTCATGACGTAGGGAAGAGAGGCTTTTCTTTTTTTTTTCCCTTCCATGAACTGCCAGGTTTCACTGCTGAAAAGGTTACTAACTCATAAATCACTCTGCTAAATTAATTTTTTCACTGCTGCTTGTCTTCGTTTTTAGTGATTCATCTCAGTAAAGAAGTAGGGGGCTTTGGTTGTTTGTTGTGGTTTGTTTTTTTGGTTTTTTTTTTAATTCTCTTTACCATTCTCTACATTTTTGTTCTAAGGGTGTTTCTTTTTCTTTGAATTTAGATTTTTTTTCTTTAATAATAGCTAGGTTTCCGCAGCTGGATGCACACCTTTACCTCAGGAAAATTTCTGCAGTGTAAATAATTTTCTTGTTAAACTCCGGACTGTGCTGAAGTTTAAAACTCTGTGTTTTAATCCCCAATTCTGAGGCACTGATTTAAGTGCATCAAATTTTCCGTTGTTTCCCCACTGTTTCCTTATCTCCCAAATGGAAATTATTTCCATCTCATAAGCACTGTTAGTTATATGTTGTGTAGGAGTGAATGTCCTTCTAGAACTCCCAAGTTTAAGTGTAGCTCCCAACAAAAAGTCTGTTTTGATGGGTAACAGGGAGTTTTGTCTCTTCATATGATCCAGTGTCTTAGTCAAGTGAAGAGGCAGTTTATGAAACAGGTTGTCATCTTGTATCACAGTAGATTAATAAGTTAGCGTTAAGCTGTTTAGTAGAATGCCAAGTTCTAAACACCAGTAGAACAAACCACTCAAACTAGTGATTTCAAAATTTTACTAGCTGCAGAGCAAGGGTCCTTGTGTTTTCCTTTAGCTTGTTTTCTGTATGCCATGGATTGTGTGTATATCATATCAGTTACTGTTTTTTTCTTTCCTGTTTTTAACGTCAACCCAAGGAAGTACTTCTGTGTGCTCTGGGTCAGTAGATGGTAGTGTGTACTTCATGAAGAACAAAAAGGATAAACTGAGGATGACGATGCCAATGACCCTCTCATTTTGTTACATGGCATTACTCTGGTTGAGAGAACCCATGACGTTATCTGACCTCTTAAGGTATGAATGGTCTCTAATGAAATATTTGTTGCTTTTATAAATAATTAAAAAAAAAAAAATAGATCTGTATTATTGCTTTCTTACTCATTTGCTCAGTAATGGTTAGAAGTTCTCTATATTTAGTTGCCTCTTTTTTGACATAACAATTCGTGCAGCTACTTTTGGACAGTGTTCTCTGTTGATTGTAGTAAATCTCAAAGACCTGTAAGAGAGAAGGTTTTGGAGCTAAAGAAGCTTTTTATCCTTCTTCAGAATTTCTTAAGACTCGGTGGAGGTGTGTACGGTCACGCTTTTGCTATATTTGCTGTTGTCAGCATGCCAGAATTAAATGAGTAAACATTCTCCAGGACTTACATCAGTGTTATCATACAAACAATACCAGCAGTATGTAGTGATCTGGAAGGTAGCTCAGTAGCCTCACGCAGTGGAGTTGGGCACAGAAATTAGTGTAGGAAGTTCTTTTTCTGTCTTCATAGCTTCATATTGGTAATTATCAGAGGTCAGAATAACACAGCTTTTAATATAGTAGATATGGAATGTTCTAATAGTAAGGTTTAATGCTAAATGGAGACTAACTACTGCTGACAACACCATTCCCTTCTCCCATCTACAGCAAGGCTGTGAACACATCCCTTATCTACTTAAGAAATGAAAAAGAATTAATCAACATTTCTTGTTAACAATAAATATTTTAAATCAGGGTCAAATAGTTTAAATTCAGGAATTAGATTTTCCTTGGAAGAAAAATAAAAAACTGATACTCCTTTTTAACAAGTGTTGAAATATTGGGTATTTCTAAAAAGATGGTAAAAAAATGTTACTTTGCCAAAATTTGAGGGGTCGAAAGATTCAGGTAACTGTATGTTGGCAAATCAAATTGAAAACTTAGACCAAGTAATGGAAAAACTGGTTAAGATTCAGTTGTTACAGTAGATTTCTGTTCTTTAGTTTTTATTTTTCGAATACATAACCTGAGAACTAAAAGGCAAGGCATGAGTCTGTCATCTCCCACACTGAAAGTGTACAAAGCTCTTTTCTAGCTGTGTACAGGCTTTCCAAGAAGGATGGATGTTGAGGGGCGCTCCTTTGCAAGTACTTTTAAAAACGGGAATGTTTATATGTCTCAAAATACAGTAATTAATACTAGCTAATTTATTTCTATGTAAAACAATGTTTAACCCTTTGATTTAAATTTAGGAGGTGGCTATTGCTTTCATTGACCAGAATTGCACAAACTATTGCATATTTGCATAACTGGATATGATGTTGCTTAGGAAAAAAAAAAAGCTTGTAAAAATGTTCAGCAAAATGCCACAGCATTCAGAATTCAGATTAGCATCCCACAATAGCAAATTAATTATTGAGTGCATTAAGAAATAATAGAATTCAAAAGTAGTTTTCAGTAGTAAAATTTGTTACTGATTAGTCTTGCTAAGGAGATTTTGTAGGACTCAGAACTACTGTAGTGTACTCTGTATTTTTTTTCAATTATTTGAAAATATATAAATCCTGTCTGATAATGTTTGTATATGGCAAAAAATCCAAGTGATAAATTACAGTTACTGGGGTGGAGTAAATGGTTCACAGTAAAGAATTATTACTTAGTCCAATTCTGTTTGGAGAGAAAAATGGATAATTAAATATCTGTTCTTTGATTATTGTATCTTGGAAACTGTCTGTGGAAAGCCTGTGGAGTGACGGGGCAAATACACCCTCACAAGTTCCTGTCTTAGTGAGATGGGGTGGTTTGAGAAAAAAATCAACAACCAAAGAACAATAAAAAATCTGTCAAAGCCAACTGTTAAGAGGAAAGGTAGATTGTGCTGTTTGCATATTAATGGTATATGGTTATATTTGGCACTTCAGAAAGTTGGGGACTGCAGAAAAGATCCAGGAAAATTACTTGGAACCTGGAGAACGTCCTCTGTACTGAGATCCCTAAGACATGAGCACATTTGCTTGAAAAGATTTAGAGAAAATGTGAAAATAGTAAAAAATGCTGGAAAAGGAGGGAGAAAAAAAATAAATCAAGTATCAAATATACTGTAGAAAGGCATAATCAGAAACTAATACTTGGAAATTGAATTAAGATTATTTGAATGAGAAGATATTGTTTAATTAAACATATTTTATGGGCCTACCACTTTTAAAAGTGGGTAAATCAGAATGATTCAGAGACTTTAAATGCACTGAACATATGAACTGAATTAAATGCAGAAAGTGATGTTTGAAAGAATGTAATTTGGTTTGCAAAGTTTTACCATGATACGATACTTATATAAGATCGTAATCACATTATCATGCTTCCCTCCCTACCCTTAAGGTCTTTGCCTTTCACAAGCTTGATGGAGAAGGAGAAAGAATTTTAGATTCCATGAATGACCATAAAATATTTGTTTTCTAACCTCTGAATATTTAAGTTTTAAAAAAATCAGACAATGTTCAGATTTTTGCATGCATTAAGATACACAGATCAAAATAGCAACAGACCAGAGATGAAAATTATGCAGAGAAATCATTAAGCATTACCTTTTAAATCGTTATAGGCAAATAGTTTTATTTAAACCAGCTGAATTACAGTTGTACTTAAAGTTCTGCCTTGTTTGTTCATCAGTTTGGTTTTCTGCCTACCCTGAAGTCAGCTGACTACCGCCCCTCCCTTGTGGTACATGCTTAGGCACTATGGTAGGGCAATCTGCCAGCTTTTGAAGGATTTGCAACACCAAAAATATACTCCTCCTTGCTACTTGACACACTTAGCTGAAAGACACTACAATTACCTCTTCTCACAGGGAGATTTTCATTTAAAAATAACATTTTTACCAGCCTTCTACTCAAGTGTATATAACACATTAAATTGTCTTGCATTGCGAGTAGTCTCGCAATACTCTATATGCTATATATTATTTATTTAAATGATGAATAAAATTATTGGCTTGTGGAAAAAGTTTCAAGATGCTAGACTTTGAGATTGTGAGAACTAATGCCTTTCAAATCAGGTTACCTAGCTGTGCCGGCAAGACCAAACTTGTAATCAGTTTGTGGCATTACTGTGTGGCTTTAACAGATGCATCATTTCCTTGTAGCATGCAGAAGACCTAGGATTTCTTTCATTCTTGGACCTTACTGATGCATGCTGCTGCTGTAATTAAAAACACATGGATTGTGTGCTGTATCTGCCAATCAAGTTTTCACACACCTCACTGATATAACAAAGTCTTAAAAGTGTTCTCACCGTCTGTCTGTTAAATGAAAGGTTTGGAAGAACAGCAGACAGAAGAAACTGTTCTGAATTGCTACTCCAAATCTGGGCTTTTGGAGTAAGTGTTAAATACCTGAATCATCAGCACATTATATTTTTAACAGGGCATTTATGCTGTTTCATGTATTTTTAGAATATAAAAACAAGTCTTAACCTGAGAGAGAAGAGCATTCTTTTGTGTGGAGATAGTAATTTCAAGCTAGGAAGGATGTCATTATTTTGTAAACAGTCACAATGCTTTGACTTAGTGCAGATAAGTTAGTGAAAACTTTTTAAAAAAGAAACATTTTGATGGACATTGTTTGTCTCTTGCAGTGTAAGGATGTGGTTCCAGCATCAGTTTAGGCTGATCTGAGTTTGTGTTGCTGTGGTGTTGCATAAGCATTCCGTCT